TGAAAAAATGATCTCATTTCTCTTTACAAAATCTCAATGAGGCAAGAGCTTCAGTACCTGGTGGGTTGACATGGTAAAAGCCTTCCTCTTGTCACCTTTCCCAGCTGTCCTTTGAGGTAGCTGGGGACTCCAATTTATCAGCTGACTAATGGAGTATGGTTGAGTTTCAGATGATGTAGGGAAAAGATGCTCTATTCCTAGAAGAGGAAGTCTCTATGATAAGATCTATAAATAGACATTGAAGGGACTTTGAGGCTGCTCTTTATGGAAATTCTCTAAAGGGATAAAGAACCAGAGATATTTCATAGTTCTGAAGGCTGGGAAATAAAAAGAAAAAAAAGAACTAGAGATGCTGATAATTTCCTTCCTTCTCAACTTTGTGCCTTCTCTTAGAGAACATTGCCCCTTTTCCTTCCCATAAAGTTGAATCCCTCATCCTTGGCAAGTGGTCATGAGGCATTGTGATTCCGGACCTATCATCAGAGCTAGCTGGACTTGGATGGGCATCTGACCCAGCTGGCTCCATTAGGTCCTTGCTCCAGGACTTTGGGATTGGGACATGCAAATACTGGAAAATGAAGAGAAACCAAGATAATTTCCTTCTCCCCACTTCTATCTACCTTTCTGGGGCCATGAGGTTTCCCTTTCTGAGATGCTAAGAGTTTGTTTAAAAAGACAGCCTTGATGGGAAACAGTATAAATATCTACCAAGAGGAAACTGACTAAATCATGGGACATCCATGTCATGGAAGACTACATGGCAGTCTGAAAAGAATGAGGAAGTGTTTTATGCGATCTGCAAAACATACTGTTAAGAGAAGAATAGGCTGGTCCGAAGGTAGTGAGTTATCTCACTTGATTGTTCACAGTCAGTTACAGATTGAACTTGTTCTACTACTTTCCTCCCTCCTCACTACTGCACTTGACTAGTCTTAAGAAAAAAAAAGAGAGACTACAGGATAGCGGGGATACTACACCACCAATTGTATAAGAGAGGAAAAATATAACATCCATGTTTACATTGTCTACACTTAATACCATTATTAGGTTAGGGCTTAAGTCTACCATTTTTTGTTTTCTGTTTCTTATTCTCCCATTTCTTTTTTCTTGTCTTCCTGTGCATTATTTGAACATTTTTAAGGATTCCGTGTTGATTTATGTATAGCGTTTTGGAGTGTATTACTTTGTATGATTGTCTTAGTGGCTGGGTCTTACATAGGCACAGGGGTGTGTGACTTACCACAGTCTACTGATATCAGTGTTTTCCAATCTGAGTAAAGTGTGGAAGCCCTACTCCCATTTAGATCCCTGTTTAAATATCATTGTCTTGGCATCAGATGGTATTATAATTTTTATACAAACCATCATATATTAATATAATTTAGAAAATTCATGAGAAGGATAGTCTTTTGTTTTACCCATATTTCTGCTTTCTCCCTTGTTCGTTCTTTCTTCCTGATGACCTAAAATTCCTTCCTTTATCATTTCCTTTCTTTTGAAGAACTTCCTTTATTTGTTCTTTAAGAGGAGATCTGGGCTAGTGACAAACGCTCTTAGATTTCCTTTATCTGAGAATGCCTTTGTTTCCCGTTCATTTCTAAAATACAGTTTCCCCAGATATAGAATTCACAGTTGACAATTCTTTTGTTTCCACACTTGAAAAACACTGTGTTCCCTTCCTTCTGGCCTTTATTGCTTCAAATGAGAAAAACCCTGTCATTCAAATGTGTGTCCCCCTGCAGGTAACATGTTGTTTTCCCTCTGGCTGCTTTCAAGATATTTGCTTTGTGTTTAGTTTTCAGAAGTTTAATTATGATGTCCCTGGGCATGGATTGCTTTGGGTTTATCTATTGGAGTTCTCTCAGCTTCTTAAATCCATAAGTTTGTATTTTTTGCCAAATCTGGGGAATTTTCAGTCATTACTTCTTTGAGTATTCTTTCCATCTCATTCCTTTCCTCTTCTTCTTCTAGGACTCCAATGCTACAAATGCTGGATCTTTTATTACTGTCCCACAGGCTTGAGATTCTGTTTTCAGTTTATTTTCTCTCTGTTGTTCAGACTGGGTACATTCTATTGCTCTGTCCCTGATTGCACTGAGTCTATCCTCTGTCGTTTCCACTCTACTAGAAATCTTATCCAATTCGTTTTGTTATTTCTGTTATTTTTCAGTTCTATAATTTCCATTGGGTTCTTTTTTTTAAATAATTTCTCTTTTTTGCCAAGATTTTCTATTTTTTACTTGTTTTGAGAGAATTTGGAATTGCTTACTAAATTGGATGATGGTTACTTTAAAACATTTAGCAGGTAATTCCAATATCTGGTTCATCGCAATGTGGAAGTCAGATGATTGCTTTTTCTTATTCAAGTTGTGATTTTCTTGGTTCTTTGTAGAGTGGATAATTTTGATTGTATCTGGATATTTTGGCTATTATGTAGAGAGATTCTGGGTCCTATTTAAATTTTTCATTTTAACAGGTAGTCACCTGGTTTAGGTTTAGCGTGAAGGTCCTGGCCTACTTTTGCAGGTGGTTTTGATGACAATCTAATTTTCAGAGCCTTCATGTGCTTTTCTGGCCTCCTTGGTTTGTCTTCTGCCCCTGAGGCTCCCACAGGTTCTTGTTGGTTGTAGTTGAGGAGCAGAAAGCAGTTTCTCCAGGCTGGGGTGCCTGGTGCCTTTAGGTGAGGGAAGGTGTCTCCAGCCTGCAGTGACAAAAGCACTTCCTGGGCTGGATGCTGGTTGTGGTGGAATCCTCCTTGCTAATGTCCTCTGTCAAGTGGGGTCTCCAGGTCACAGAACTGAGTCTCAGGCTGTGGGGGGAAGGAGAGCACTTCCCCTGGCCAGTTATTGTCGGGAGGCCTGCCCCTCTCTGTTTCTGCTGGGCTTGTCTGGTGGTGTTGGTAGAACTCCTACTCAATTTGGAGGAAAAATAAGCCTACCTACATGCCTTCTGTTGCTAGATTGGGTGTTGGGAAAAGCTGAGCCTGAGTTACCTTTTGCTGGGGGGGCGGGGCGCGGGGTTATAAAATGCCCTGCTACTGTACGGTTCCTTTGGTCCTGGGATTTCTAACCAATTCACCTTCCTCTTTCTATCTTTCAGAGTTCTTTTTTGGTTGTCTCCGTGTTATTTCTGAGGTTTTTAGTCATGCTTAGCAGGGACAGACAGGGAGAGACTGCTCTACATCATCTTCCTTGGACCAGAAGTTCTCTATATATGTTTATATAGGCATAAGATCTCTCTAGAAGGGAACGCAAGGATTGGATAATATTGCTTCCCTGAAAAGGTGACCTAGGGGATATGAGGTAAGAGGGAGACTTTTTTATATATCTGTTTGTATATTCTCATTTTAATCAAATGAATAAATATATTATCTCTTCAAAGATAATAATAAAATGTAAAAGAAGAAAGAAGACGTCTAGCTCAGCCTTGTTGTCAAGAGCACAGCCAAAGATTACAACAGAGGTCAAGCAGCGTATGGATTCAACAGCTGGTAATTTTATTAAATTTCTCTGACTTTTAATTTCACTATATTGTGACCGCTTTGATCCAGATCCCCAAACATAAGAATAATATTCTCGGTAGATTTTCAGCTTGCTCATACATTTTGAATAACTTGCAGAATACAAATGTGTAATTTAGATAGAAGTAGATGCTTTTGGCAGCATGCTAGTACCCTAATCAGCTGAAAAATAATATTTGTATGACATTAAAACAAAATTAATAGCAAGACACTAATTACATGAAAAGACTTTATGTTGTAATTATTAAACTTGCAAACAACTCAGCATAATTAATGCCTTAATTAACATATGACCTGAAATTTTAGCTTACAAAATTGATAAAGACAATTAAAAGTCACATTTGTAAAGTAAAGTGGGTTTTAAAAATTACAAAGTAGTTGAATATCACCTTTTTTCTCCTCATTTCGGGGAACATTTTTGTAGGTATTAAGTTTACAATCAATTGTTATGATTCCCACCCCATTCCCTAGCACAGTGTCTCAGCTTGAAGCCCGAGAGCTAAGTTTAGTGACCTTCAGCCAAGGATGTCCACCAACAGGGGGCTGGGCAGCTCCTAGGCACAGGCCTTCTGGATAGATAGCTCTGGGGCAAAATGGAACAGCAAAGACTTCTCCCCCTAGCACCTTAAGGGAGATATAAATTATTTTTGTATTCAATATCTTTCTTATTCCTTGGAGCTTTATTTTTTTTATTTTTTTGAGACAGAGTCTCAATCTGTTACCCGGGCTAGAGTGCCGTGGCATCGGCCTAGCTCACAGCAACCTCAAACACCTGGGCTCAAGCAATCCTACTGCCTCAGCCTCCCGAGTAGCTGGGACTGCAGTCATGCGCCACCATGCCCGGATAATTTTTTCTGTATATTTTTAGTTGTTCAGCTAATTTCTTTCTATTTTTTTTTAGTAGAGGCGGGGGGGGGTCTCGCTCTTGCTCAGGCTGGTCTCGAACTCCTGAGCTCAAAAGATCTGCCCGCCTCAGCCTCCCAGAGTGCAAGGATTACAGGCTTGAGCCACCGCGCCTGGCCTCCTTGGAGCTTTAAATAGAAGGATATTTCAAAATTTTCCCCAAATAGCTAACTAGGAACTAGATTAGGTATGAAGGATCAAATTAAGGGCTTAAAAAGTGTAGTTCACAAATACAGCTTACAAATGTACCAAACTCCCTCTTATTTAAAAAATATGTTATCTTATATGGGTTAAATTACAGCTATTGGTTGTGGTTGGTTCTGTCTGTCTGTCTCTCTATCTCACTGCAAGCTGCCCTTTCCTAAGGTCTGGCATCACCAGACAGTTCTTTCATAAAATCAGTGTCATGCCTGTCTCTTCCTAACTGCCTATGTTGTAGACCGGGGAACATGGGGCCCAAAATTCAGATTACCTGATCTTGGCAAGAAGCATATGTCTTTAATTGAAGGCACCTTCCAATTATAAAATAACTATCATTAGTAGCACAGGAAATGTCATCATTGAACTTCCTCTGTACCTGTAGGATTTCTTAATTTCTTCATTCGATGCTCCTTTTTGCAGACCAAGAATTTCATATAGAGCTTCTCCAGTTGTTGACAGAGTCCGCTGTCTTTGGTTAGGTATGTTACATGCCATTTTCTCAGGCTGCAAAACCAAAGAGGGGAAAATAGCCATGAAGGTTATGCACACTGGAATCCACTCTCGAAAGGGGAAGACAGTTCATTTTTGACCATTGTAAATGATAATATGAAGTACATTTGTGTGCCAGCTGCAAAAGGAGGGGAGGAAAGAGTTAGAAGAGCCAAAAGCAGAGATTTGAGACAGGGTATTAAAGAACACAGGCAGCCACGCAAATGGAATACAGCCTCGGCCCTACAGTTCAGTAGAAGCAAAATGTTATCTAAACAACTAGCTAATTCAGTACTGTTGAGAATCAATCCTCACAAGTCAGGCAAAAGTAGCGGTTTTTTTTTTTTTTTTTTTTGGTTGGAATTTGCACAACTTCTTTATGTACTTTTTCCAAATCTAGCCCACAATGGAAGTGATCAGCCATTTTACTCCAACTCTACTGGCCATTGTAAGAGTTTCTTTAAAAAAAAACAAACAATGTTTTGGTTGGGCAAAATGGCTCACATCTGCAATCCTAGCACTCTGGGAGGCAGAGGTGGAGGATTGCTTGAGCTCAGGAGTTCGAGACCAGCCTGAGCAAGAGTGAGACCCCATCTCTACTAAAAATAGCAAAATTAGCCAGGCATGGTGGTGCATACCTTTCGTCCCAGCTACTTGGGAGGCTGAGGCAGGAGAATCACTTGAGCCCAGGAGTTTGAGGTTGCTGTGAGCTATAATGACACCACTATACTCTAGCCTGGGCAACAGAGGGAGACTCTGTCTCAAAAAACAAAAACAAAAACACCCAATTTTTTTAAGTATTGCGGAAAAAATTCCTAGGTTAGTACTTCTCTGCAGCTGTGGAGTCCCAGAATCCCCCACATGGATTTCTGCACGTCAGATAGCTCCTTTCCTTGTGGTCTAGCCAGAAGGGGTTGGGTCCCAAGTCCCAAGGAACCATGTGCCTGCTGCATTCTGACTCTGACAGGGAAGCAAGCCCACCTGGCGGAGCATTCCTGTATCTACCGCTTAACCTCTCTGAGCATTAATGTCTTCACCTGTAATATTAATACATGCACAGTAAAGCCCGCCTCATAAGAATATCTTCAGGATTTAGAAATAATGCCTATAATGTATCCAGGACACAGTAAGTTCAAAGAAAAAGATAACTGTTTTTATGAAAGGCAGCATGCTGTGGAATTCAGACAGCCACTGTAGTCAGACCCTCCATGTTGGAATACCGGCCTTGCCGTTGCCGGCTGCATGACCATCTCATCAATGAATCTGAGACAAAATATGCCTGAACTCGTGGAACTGTTGTAAGAAGTAAAGGGGTTAATATATTTTTTAAATGTGTACCAATGTTCATAGCAGTATTATTCATAAAAGCTGAAAGGCTGAAACAACCTGTGTCCATCAGCAGATGAATGGATAAATGAAATGTAGCATGTATAAAAAGTGGAATATCATTGAACCATAAAAAGAAGTGGAACTCTGATACATGCTAAAACATGGATGAACCTTGAAAATATGCTCAGTGAAATAAGCCAGCCATAAAAGGACAAATATTATATGAGTCCACTTATCTGAGGTGCCTAAAATAGGCCAATTCTTACAGACAGAAAGTAGAGGTTGTTGCCAGGGGCTGGGGAGAGTGGGAGATGGGGAGTTATTGCTTACTCATCCCAGACAGAGACTCTATCTCTATAATGAATAGCTCTGGAAATAGATAGTGGTAATGGTTAGATAACATTGTGAATAAACTTAATGCCACTGAATCATACACTTAAAAATGATTAAAATGGTAATTTTCATGTCATGTATATTTTATCACAAAATAAGAAAATTAGACTGCAAGCTCCCCTGACCAGAAATTCCTTGAAAATCATTATCCATCTCTTGGCCTTCTGTCTTGTGCAGCAGCTACTATGAACATGAGCGGATGTGAATGAATGAATATACCAGGGCTTAGGAGATGGTCCGGGCTTTGAAGACATGCACATACAACACATGAATCCCTGGTGACAATGACGGTGGCAGCAGAGCCAGGCGTGCACATCCCAGTGGTGGGGGCGGGGTAGAACAGATCTCCCAGCTCTGCTCCCGCCAGGCTAATGAGTGTCCCCACACAGGCAGAGGTAGTAGAGGCTGCAGGATGTTATCTGGTGGGTCGGGGTGGTCTTAGAGGCCCCTCAGATCCCAGTGTGGTACGTGAGGGCTGGTGGGCCTAAGGAATTCCATTAAGAAAAATAATGTAAAGAACTTCACAGTGTTTTTGAGAGCCTTTAGCTTCTTGAGAGAAGAAAAAGAAGGCAGTTCTGAAGGAAGTCAGACACCAGGCAAAAATCCTGCTGCCCCAAAGGCTCTGAGGACAAAACTGGCCTACTTGGGAGTGTGATGGCACAAGGACAAGCATGGGACACGAATGCATTGCCTCCTCCTCAGTTTGCCCCCATCAGACTGGAGCCCTGGAGGCCAGAGGGGCTCCAGTCCCAAATCTCAGGTCCATACAAGGAGAACCCTGATCCTACCCACCACAAAACAAAATCAAACAGATGTCCATACCGGCTGGCAGCTGCTCCATAGACTGTGCTTATTTCTTTTTTTCTTTTCTTTTTTTTTTTTTTTTTTTCAGACGGAGTCTTGCTCTGTCACCCTAGGTAGAGTGCAGTGGCATCATCATAGCTCACTGCAACCTCAAACTCCTGGGCTCAAGCGATCTTCCTGCCTCAGCCTCCTGAGTAGCTGGGACTACAGGGCGTGCCACAACACCCAGCTAATTAGGGTCTCACTCTTGCTCAGTCTGGTCTCGAACTCCTGAGCTCAAGAAATCCTCCTGCCTGGCTTTGCAGAGTGCTAGGGTTACAGGCGTGAGCCACGGCACCCGGCCATGGATTGCACTTATTTCCATTACTGCCACATCTTACTTTTTTTCAACCACTCACCTGAATTTCCCGAGCAGGTAAGCCATCCAAGGTTTAGGGCTGTGTCACTCCTCCCCAGGCTGTGTTCCAATCCTGTGGCTCAGCCCTATCTTGGAAGCACAGCCCAGCTGACTATTTGCAACTGAAGGAAGAATTAATTGCCTGAGAAACTGATGCCCTCCCTGCTCCCTTTCCTGTCCCCTCTCCCCTGCCACACCACACATGTATCCTCAGTGAACTGCTGTTTGGCCCCGCACGTCTGCCTAATGGTTCCTAGTAGTGGAGGCAACCAGCAGGCTTCTCGACAAGTCCTGTCACATGCGGTGAGTGAACAGGGTTGGGAAAGCAGGGATTTGTATGTGGCTTGGTAGACGAGCAACAGGACCAGTCACGCTCCTAGTCCCTCTCACTGGGATTTTAAGACCCAGCTGGGTGGCAAGATCCCCACAGTCACTGGATGCTGACACTAAGAGAACATCAACAATCCCTCTTCTGGGTGTACAGCCAAAGGAAATGAGATCAGTATCTCAAAGAGACCTCTGCACCTACATGTTTATTGCACCATGATTCACAATAGCCAAATTACACAATCAACCTTAGTGTCCATCGACAGATGAATAGATACGGAGAATTTGGTGATTATACACAATGGGATGCTATCCAGCCTTAAAAAGAAGATGAAAATCCTGTCATTAGTGACAACATGGATGAACCTGGACGACATTATGTCAAGTGAAATAAGACAAACACTGCATGATCTCATTCATATGTGGAATCAAAAAGTCAAACTTATAGAAGCAGAAAGTAGAACGGTGATTACCAGGGGTTGGAGGGAAGGAGGTTGGGGAGATGTTGGCCAAAGGGGACAAAATTCCAATTAGACAGGAGTAAGTTCAGGAGACCTGTTGTACAACATAGTGCCTATGGTTATAACAATATGTTGAATACGTATGTGAAAATTACTAGGAAAGTAGATTTTAAATGTTCTCTCTCACCACAAAAAAGATAAGTATGCGATGTAATGCATATGTTGATTTGTTTGATTTAACCTTTCCACAATGTATACATACATCAAAAGATCAGGTTGTATACCATCAATGTAAACAATTTTTATTTGTCAATTTAAATAAATAATAAATAAATGCATCAACATAATGATTAAAATCCTAGAACTACAGAACATGGAGTTAGAAGTTATCTAAGCAAACTTAACAAAGGCCTTTTGGGGCATTCTGGCCAGAGACCATTGCAGTAGATAACTTTTCCTATTAGCCAATTAGCTCTCCCTTTTCTGGGGAGTGCATAGGTCCCCACTGCTACGTGTGCTTTTCCTGAGACCTGCCTCAGTCTTACTCCATCTCAACTGAGTAGACCAGGTGTGGGTACCTGACCCAGGCCAGGCCAGTTAGAATCCTTGCCTAGGATTTTTAAAATACAAGACACTCTCTTAGAGGGTGAAACCTATAAAATGTAACATCCAAGTACTGTTGCCTGGCCTGAAAGGAGAGAGGTTGAGACTGCAGACGAGGAGCAGGGCAGAGGCAGAGAGAGAGCCTCAGTTGTTCTCGGGCTTCAGTTCCTAGTTCCAGCTGTTCTTGGGTCCACTTGCAGCTCTTACCCTCCAACAGTTTTCGGATCAACCCTTCCTTGGGTTGAACCAATAAAATTCCCCCCATACACAAATTTACACACTTTTTTTTTTTCTTTTGAGTGTGTTTTAGCAAGGTTTTGGTTGCTGTCAATCAAGACTCTTAAGTGCCATATACTCTCTTGATTAAACATGAGTGTGGTTCCCTGAGCACCTCCAAGCCAGGATAATCCACTGTGGATTTTTCTTAAATCACTGCACCTACTCGTCCTTTAAGTTGAATATAGCTTCCAGGTACTTGGGAAATAATACCTTGGATAACTCATAGTGAGACGTTAATATATTAAACCAAAAGGATTCAGATGTATTGTGTAGACATTTCTAGTACAGATAAGAGTGATTAATCTGGGTCGAGATGCTTTCATGAGAAAAGTGAGTGGAGAGCCATTCAAGAGAACTAAGAAGAAATAAGAGTAAGACAAACAGTTAGCTTTGCTTTTATAGATTTTTCTCTA